TTCCACCATTTTCGAGAACCTTGTCTGTAATTGATTTTATCGTCATGAATGGCTTTGACTTGGTTTTCTCGAATAAGTTTATTTATCTTCTGTTGAATTAGGTCAGTATCAGCGCCTCTCAAAAGTTCTCTATTTCGTACATTACACAGATACTTAACAAGCGGGGACATAAATGGGGGATCACGAGTCGACATTTTGACTTTAATCGGGGAAAAGCACTCATTGAACATATTACAAAGAGTTTCATTTAACAACTCGACTCCTTCGTCAACATCGTTAGTGTTGGCATCGTAAATCCGGCTCCAGTCATATACCTTCAATTTATTCTCCATTTTTATTTTTCGGTGATACCTCACATCACGAAAATATACAAATTTTCTCTCAGGCTTAACAGTTAGCTGCGGAGTCACAACAACCGCAGAATGATCAGAGCGTACCAAACATCTAAAAACTATAGGAGCCTTCCATAAATGAGGGATATTTGTCAAGAAAACATCCAGTATCCGAGAACCTCTAGTAGGTTTCCTCACGATTTGATCAAATTTGTGCTGAATGCAAAAGTCGTGCATGGGCAGTTGATTTACATCACCAGCAATAATTATTTTGGCATTAGGTTGCAATAACAGAATCTTCTCACACTATTCAGATAAAAAATTAAGCAAATCAGATTCGTTGTAAAAAGACTCAGGTGGATGATACACTACAGAGACGCAGTATGAACTATTCATAGTGTGAATTCGCTCCAGATACATTCGAAATTGTTATCGAGGTCGATATTAATAATTTTCCAATCATTTCTGCACAAGATGGCAACCCCACCTCCTGGCTGAAGATCGCGATCCTTACGAACTATAGTATAACCACTTGGACATACTAAAGTTGAGGGGATGCACTTATGAAGCCATGTTTCTGTAATAAAACATACGTCTATATTGTTATGGAGAAGTTCAGCTGTCAATTAATGCTGGTAGAGCAACAGGTTTGACCAATGAACGGGTATTAAAGACCATACATTTTGGAGTTATCTTAGCTTGAGGGGGCCCATCTTTGACTATCTTAATTGTCTTCAAATTACTGGGGTTACTTCTATTTTGGTTAGGGACCCTTCTAGAATTTCTAGCAGTAATTCTAACTGGTATCGAAGCCGTACGTTATACCATAATGTATTGATCTCGTGTTTTTAGTCTTTCGAGATGTTATTCTTCACTTGACATTTGATACACGATATCCCACAACTCATTTCGCGCGTGGCCCTTGTCTTCTAAAATAGATACACCAAAAAGCGCTCCCAATCTATCGCTAGCTTGAAACTATTGGAAGCATAATTTAATCTGGCCAAACAATCATTTTAAAAAAATGATGAAAATTCTTATAAGCGAATAATGAGATAGATTTTCTAAAAAAGTTATATGCCATTTGCAATAATATAACATTTTTGTGGTTTAACGTATCGCATGTCATAACATGTGACAGCATTAACTGTGACGTCATAACATGTCGGTAATATTTACGCAAAATCTTGGGTAAATTTACACATAATTTTATGAGGTGGATCGTACCATCTTCATTAAAGTGTAGATAGACGATTGTTGCAAATGATTTGAATTCATATATAATTGTTATTTTTCAATAGCAGCAATTCTTTGGCCGTATTCAAATTCATTGTGATATCCGCCATGTTTGAAACTGCGACAATTCAGGACAGAGCTGTTCAGCTTCAAATTTGACAAAAAAGTGAAAGATATGCAATATTAGAACTAGGGTTATTCAATTCGATATCATATCTCGTTTTAGCCATGCAAAATTTCCCAAAAGAAAGGTTTTGATATATGCGATAAATAATATTAATTCAAGCTTCAGCTAGCAGGGTTGAAATTTCAACCCCGGGATTGAACTCAGCCCTGGGTTGAAAATTTTGTCATGTAATCGTTTCAACCCAGGGCTGAAATGATCATGACTTATTCGAGCATACGTGGTAGTGACTATTTATTACAAGATAACAAAATAAAGGCTTTTTTACTTCCGAGAATCGATGCCGAGAACGTATAGTATAGCGTTTCAACCCCGGGGTTGAAATCGTCCATGTAATCGCAAATAAATTCAACCTGGTTAACAGGGCTGAGTTCAACCCCGGGGTTGAATCGTCCCCTAACAAAGGATTATGCAAATATATCTAATTGCTATATATGTTAAGAATTATTGCTAAATATAGTAAGCTGTATTTGGAAATTTTTTCTAACTACACTTAAATGTCTTTACATGCAACACTTTTTTGAACGTTTGAAAACTTCATAAATATACGGAAAGGAAAATTCGTCATTCTATTCACCACGAAAGCGAACTGAATGCTTCGTTACACTTCATGCATACTTCCAAGCGAATGTAATGGTTAATTGTTCCACGCTCACTTTTTTGAATAGCTAATAATTTCATGCCTCATTGCTATGAATGTCTAATGATGTGTCAGAAGCAATTTCAAATCCTCGTTAGTGTTTTAAACTTGGCCTCCAAATCCCCAGCGCCATGAACAATGGCTCGGCTGCACCTCGCCATTGTTCATGGCACTTGTATTTAGAAACCACGTCTAAAACACTAACTCGGCCGGATTTAAAATAATAGAAAATAATAATAAAAATAATAAAAACTGGAAACCTTGCACACGTAACAATATCGTTGCTCCTTCATAAAAGTTTTCTTTTAAACGTTTCCTTTGGCATCTGATATTGGTCGCGATATAGACAGTTCAAAATCACTTCTAACGGATAATACATTGACCTAAAATGAGCAATTGCTCTGAATTACAAAAGAACAAACTCATCTGGAATGGCGACTTAAGCGAATTAAAGTCCTACGTCGCAGAAAAGTTAAACATAAATGGTAAATGGAAATCACCGTCAGGTGGACGCTGGTTATTTACTAGCGATGCTTTGTCTATAACCTGGTATTGTAAAAGCAAAACTGTCTTATTTCAAGGTCCTCGTGGCAGCGAAGTGGCTGACTCTTTGAAGAAAAATATCGATGCATTGCGAATTGCAATAGTGAAAGATGCCGAGCTAATCATTGCTACCCCTGCTGTTTCCGAAAGACGGAATGAATCTATCGATAATCAGTGTAGTCTCAGTATTAACAATTCTAACTCGAACATGTTTGACAGATCTAGTAATACAACAACAACTATCAACCGAAGCGACTCGGATGCTAGCGAAGGAAAAGCAAATGAGCAAGAAATGTGTTCACACAAGCAGAACGAAGGCGATTATATAATGAATTGCAAAGGCTGTAGTAAATTATCTGTAGAAGTAGCAGAAATTAAATTGGACTTGGCATTATTATTCCTAAAAGTTAATACTGCTGAAGCTCCCGCTACATGTGAATGCAATCGGCTACGAAACGAAAATCAGCTATTGAAACAAGAAATTAAATTACTCAAGGAAACACTGCACGGCAAGGAATTGTCAAAATCGCCAATTAACATTGCTATCGATAATATGAATAATCAACCAACCATCACTGACAATGACTCTGTTGTACTAATTGATATAGAAGAATCTGAAGTTAACGTAAACACTAATATGAATAATTTACCATCTGCGACATACAAAGAGAAACAATATAATACCCGAGGGCCAGTTGTTAATGACTCTCTTATGAAATATAGAAATCCCAATAAACCAGTCGTCCAAGACTCCCTGACCTCATTCGACCATCTCCTGAAAGAAAAGGCCGCCTTAAACGCCAACATGCATCGTCATAAGAGGAATCGAATGCATAATTCTCCAACTAACAGAACGCATTTCTCGAAACCTAATTACCGGCGCAATCAGGCCGCCTTAAACGCCAACATGGATCGTCATAAGAGGAATCCAATGCATAATTCCTCAACTAACAGAACGCATTTCTCGAAACTTAATTACCGGCGCAATCAGTTTTCCGAGCCTAAACATCAATATCGTCAAGCAAATTTTCCCTCAAAGATTTTTCGAAGCGGTCGCTATCGGAGGATTCCGAAGCCAAGAACAACAGCAGACAATACAGATACAAGAGCAAGTCAAATCAACCCGGCATACAAAGTGAATCCTTTCCAATCAAAGTCAGAGTTACAGCTTGGAGAAACGGAGTCCTGGGAAGCTTACCTACAGCTGGTCAACCGCACCTTGGACCAGTTTGGAACCCTCGTTTAGGCGCAATCCAACAGACAAGTGATAATTATACATCTCAGAGAAGTGTAAATTTTAATAATTTAATTAACATTAAGACTAATACAAACCCCACCATTGGAAAGTCCTCAGTCCCGTCCTTCCTCTTGTCAAATGTATGCCATATAACAAATAAGGTAGACGAATTAGCTGCTGTTGTATCGATCTATGACCCATCCGTGGTAATGATAACTGAATCTTGGCTAAGTGATGATATCGGTGATTCCTCGGTTAAGATTGGTAATAAATACAACATATTTCGTCGCGATAGAAAGTCTCCTGGCGGTGGAGTGATCGCCTACGTGAATAATTGTTTACCAGCAGAGCGTATGACTCACCTCGAAGAAGAAAACAAAGAAGTGATATGGTTGTTGTTAAAACCCCCCAGAACCCCTAGACCTTACAGTACAATCGTTGCTGCTGTTGTGTACCACCCTCCTGGTCAATCCGCCGAACAAGCAATCGATATGAATGAATACTTAACTACTTGTATAGATAGTCTCTTGCGCGAACGTCCTTCATCTGGAATTGTTATAGCTGGGGACTTCAATCAACTAAAATTAAGAGAACTATGTAACAGATTTAATTTAAAAAGATCCGTAACTAAACCGACTAGAGGACACAACATTCTTGATCAAATCCTTACAAATATGCTCCCTCTCTTTGACACTGTTAGCCATCTCCCCCCAATCGGACGCTCCGACCACCAATGTCTTCAAGCCCATTAAAAGACAGAAAACTCCGGTTACGTCAAAAAAAATTAGATTGATGAAACGAGCAAATTTAAATGACCTCTCCCTGAATATGGCTTCTGAAGATTGGACTACTGTATATTCAGCACTGGATGTGGATGAGAAAGTATCAGCTTATAACTCCATTATAATCAAGATGCTTGACGAGTTCTTACCTGAAAAAACCATCAGAGTACATCACTCTGATAAACCGTGGATCACTGGTAATATTAAAATGCAAATCAAAGCTCGTCAGAAGGCCTTTTCTCGTGGTGATCAGCCACGATACAAACAACTATGCGAGAAAGTGGCAAATCTTATAGCTAAAGCTAAAGCCACCTACTATCGGTCCAAGGCCTCAGAATTTCGTACCTCGAATCAATCGAAGTGGTATAACTGTATCCACTCTTTAGTAAATGCCGAAAACACAACCCACACCCAATTTCCACACGGGCCCGAAAACCTAGACTTATCCGACTTAGCTGAAAAACTTCAGAAAGCCTTCACTAAACCATGGTCGGACCGTTACACGAATGTCGCCTTTGAAATACCTGAAGTGAACCACCCACATAAGAATAACAAACCACCCCTTCCTTCTATTGGTCAAGTTAAAGCGGTCTTAAAACATCTTAATCCAAGAAAAGCAACTGGCATCGATAAGGTTCCTGCATGGATGCTCAAACAATACCACAAAGATCTAGCTCCTGTGGTTTATGACATTGTGTGCTGTAGTATAAGTCAATGTTGTTATCCATCACTCTACAAACATGCCCTAATTTCCCCTGTTCCTAAAGTGCAACCGCCGAGAGACATTAACAATGATTTCCGCCAGATATCAGTCTTACCCCATCTTGCCAAGATCCTGGAAAAGATCCAGCTCCAGTTAAATATTGAAGACCTGAAAATTAAGAATAACCAGCACGCGTTTACTCAACATCGAAGCACAGTCTCTGCGTTAATATCAACTACCCAAACCTGGTTTAATGCCACTGATTGTTCAAAAACAGGCAAAATGGGGGTTCATGCGGCCTTCATTGACTTTCGTAAGGCCTTCGACCTTGTGGATCACAATATTCTTTTGAACAAATTAGCAGCTATGAACATAAATAAACCCTTCTGGTTATGGATTAAAAGTTTCCTTTCCGGAAGAGTTCAACAAGTAAATCTCAATGGTACCTTATCATCCATTGCAACATGCCCGGCCGGAGTCCCGCAAGGCTCTGTAATATCTCCCATTCTTTTTAATACCTACATTGATGATTTGGAGGACGCCTTACCAGAACAACTAAAAGTCAGTACGAATAAGTATGCAGATGACTGCACACAACACCAAATAGTGAGCGTAGATTCTAATAGTAATTTACAACAATCTATCAATGAAGTAAATAACTGGGCGGTGTTAAATAAAATGGCAATTAATGCTAAAAAAACTAAGGACATGTGGATCTCTTTCACGGACGCTATACCTGAACCACCACGTCTTCGTATTGGAAATGAGTTAATAGAAAGGGTCAACGCTTTTAAATTACTTGGCGTGTCGTTCCAAAATAATCTAAAATGGAACGCACATGTTGAAGAGATTACACGTAAAGCAAATAAACGCCTTTACCATCTTAGAGAATGCAGGAAATCGCAGTTACCACCTGAAGTCGGTATTATTACCTATCAATCCAAAATAAGACCAATTCTCGAGTATGCATCACCTGTCTGGGCGGGACTCCCTAATTACCTGCGAGATGAAATAGAGCGGGTTCAATCCAGGAGCTTAAGAATCCTTGGCCTGGAAAAAGATTACCTACCACCGTTGAACGAAAGAAGGGAAGAGGCAACTAGTCGAGAAGTTGATAGGTTTATGAACGATCCACACCATCCCTGTCGCAGTGTTTTGCCAAAATTAATTAACAATCAGTACAATTTAAGGAACATTGACCGGAATCGCAATATATCATTCTTCTCAGGAACTGAAAGGCATAAACATTCATTTTCAGGTAGAGCTTGTAAATATGTATAAATAGTTTTAACGTATTAGAAGAACTTATTAGATTAAAGAATTTATTAGTTTTAACTTCTTAGTTAGTTTTCTAAATTATCTTACAACAATTTGTAATATAAAGACATATCCGCAGCATATATACTTTCTTAAACAAGTAATTGTAAGTCCATTGTACTTTTTTATCTTAAGATGGATGAATAAAGCTATTATTATTATTATTATTATTATTATATATATATATATATATATATATATATATATATATATATATATATATATATATATATATATATATTTAGGCTATAGGGAAGAGTCTTGAGATTATAATTATGCACATTGAATGTTTTTGACCGCATCCAAAAGAATAGCAAGTTGAATAATATGCTACATCAGGCTGCACTTGTGCATTATTTTTAATCATGTTGCATTACGTATGCAATTGTAAAGATTGTTCTATTGGTCGTTGAGTTAAGCTTTCGAACAATTCTGTTCAATGATATTATTCAAGTAAAAATGATTGCATTGTTTCATGACTTTCATCTTCTCTTCTCGACACTTCACTTTCGCTAACTGAATGCTGCGCTTAATTGCAATCCAGAGAAAATCAAAATACACGATCTTGTTCATATTTACAAACACTTACGTTGTTCACCGAATTTCTTTGCTAGTGAAGCATTCATCTTTCGACCAAATCCATGTCGAGATCCATGTCATGTTCAATGATATTAATATTATACGAGAACAAATGCATGTTCATTGATATTATACGAGAACAAAGTACTGAGCTGTACCAGTGATACAAATGTTTGCATAGTATCTTAATAATGAACGGAATGGACTTTTTCCTATACATTTTCGTATTTTATAAATAGAACAAAAAACTACTTTGATCTAAATATAAAAGCGTAAAATTTATGAGGCTGCTGTTTAACAGGATTAAACAATGTTTTGCTGCCCGTTGTTCACACTTGTCAACAATATTGAACAATATTATTGAGCCTGAATTGGGTGTAACAATATTGTTCAATATCGTTGAGAACTGTGAACATGTGCGCAGCAAAACATTGTTCAATCCTGTTTGTTGCAACAATTGTGTAATTTGATATGAGTAAATCAGCGGCATGCTATATACTTCGTGTTGTAAATTGTCAAAAAATTGATCACGTGGTTGCATACTATCGTCCTTCTCAAACTCCACGATGGCAAAGCTGTACACTGGTAAAACCAGTATAGGCAAAAACTTTGCATTTCACTTAATTTTATATACCAGAATCAAAGTCTTTAACGTTATTGGTTAATACTGTAATAGCGGTAGCCGTATATATTATTCCTCAAAAAATATTCTGTACGATGACTGTTTCCTTTCTTTTTGTTACTTGAATAAAAAATTATCTTATCCTGTTTGTAACATTTATTGTTTTGATGTATGGCTATCTATTGACGAAAGTTTATAAAAAATATTTTTAAAATCTTGAAGTAATGTAAATTTGAGAAAGAAAAATTTAAAGCCCTAAAATGTTTGGGTAAACCGAAAAAATAGCATGACATATTTTTCAAGCTATCTATATGTATACAGTTGCCAGTTAATTGATAGGCCTATAAACCTTGTTTAATCTTTAGTATTTATCAATTAAAATTTCTTTTATTAATAAAGGTTGATCCATATCCGTAATTCTTTAGCTTTTCAAGCATTTTTACAAAGGTTGAAAATCACCATCCTGTGGATCTAACGCTATTCAGCCTTCGTACAACCGGGCCCAGGTTTCTCACATTAGCTACACGTCTAGCCATGAGCATATCTGTCTAGTGTTTGATATACTTATTTTATGTTTAACAGGATGTTGGTGAATTTAAAAACTACAAGATTTTTATGTCGACTATATTCAAGCTGCTTGGTTCTAACTCAACCATTGACGAAGAAGTGAATCGCATTGTTGATTTGGAAAGAGAATTTGAAGATGTATGGATTTCTGACAAGAACCTTAATTCCCACTTCTGCTTGTGTACTCTGTTGTCATAGACTCAATTTTCTTCTGTCATACTGTTGCGGACACCGAAGAAATACGTTGATAAAATTCAATTAAATTCAAATTCATTTAATTTAATTTAATAGTTTTGCCTTGTTATGTCACAGAACCCCAAGTTATATAGTTGGTTATATTTTTAGCCTGCATATAGCATTGAGCCGCCGCGCCTGCCTCTTGGGGTTAGATACTTGATATTAATAATAAAAGGAAGGAGACGTAACGCCTCAAATAGCCCAGACTTGCATACGGAGCTCAAAAATTTTCCTCGATTTTTCAACTTTAAATGCATTTTCAAATATATACATGCTCGGAAATATATGTTCAAGCCGTCAGGAGCATTAAGCCGTGGTGTGATGGTATCGCGATTTTAAACTATTTTAGAAAATAATTTATGACATATTCTATTTATGGTTAATCTCACAGATTTTTGATATTCTGCAAGTAGTTTATCAACGTCTAGTGAAAATTTGATAAAGGTTGGACCTACATTGCGTTTTCAGTAAGGATTTTACCCTGGGAGCCGCAACAGGTGTCCTGTAACCTTAAATTTGTTTTTTCAATCCCCCCTCCTCCTTATTAGCAATGTTTATATTTTGAAACTCATGGTCAGTCATGATGCTCTGCCCACTACATGCTAACACATAAAAGTTGTAAAGTTTAAATTTTTTCGTCCCATATTTCTCCATAAGTTGGTATAACCACTACAGCAATACAGAACAAAATACAGTAAATGACAACAGACTACAAAAGCAGAAGTGTGTATACAATGTATGTACAAATATACAATATGCGGATTTTTAAAACCCAGTCATTGGCCTTCAGTGTATATGTTAATCAATTTTCTAGCCAGTGGATTGGCAAGATTATGGACACAAATAGGAATTGCCAGCACGATGGCACCCCAATCATTGTTGCAGAACTTGCAGTGGAGAGTTTTTTGTAATATCGTAAAGGATGGTTTATCCTTTTGCAGGTCAAAGAAACGTTCGACCCGAGAGACGTAAAAAATCTTAAAAAGAATATCAAATTTATGACACTTGATGAGTTGAATAAATTCACTTCCGGCAAGGTAAGGTTTGCAACTATATGTAGTGATAAAACACGTCCTACTTGTGTTTTGATATTCATGCTCATTTGCATCCATTGTTTTTCCATTGTACCACACTTCAAATCCCTCTTCGGAAATTAGAAATGTAGAGTGTTTTATTAGGCACTCATGTGTCTAAAGAATCATCTGATTGGCCAAAAAGTCTATATTAATGAGTATTTTAAATTCTAATAAAGATCAAATTTTCACTCTACTAATCTTTAACAGAAGCGATGAATAAAACACCAATACACCATTTTGATACTTACGTTCCAAATCTATCCTTGGCTCGGGAGCCTCATTCTCGTGAATCCTGGACGACTTCATGCAGCCTTTGAGAGTTTACCATCTACGACGCGGCAAGATCAACAACGCGCTTTCGAAACAAAGAAATTTGTCATGCATGCAAGACAAAAACTGTGAATAATTTCTGGTCCCAAGGGTATTCTCAACGGCTTTGTCATTCTCAACACAAATTAAACAAAGCATTACCATGTGTTTCAACTGCAACGTGAAAGCTTATTGCGACCTATAAGAGGTTATTTAAAGTTGGCGAAATTACAGCGAACATTAGATTGCTTTAGACGGACTTAACCTTTTGTAAGATTATTTGAAAGAGCTTATTACAGTAAACAAATTGCTTAGCGCTCTTTCTTGAGCTGAAATTCAGACAGCGTCGTTGAGCCAGTCGCGTCGCAGATCTTAAACTCTCTAATTTAAGAGCAAGCATAATTATTGCGTCATATTTCTGTGGACGATTATGAAGGCCCTTCATTGTAATTGCTTACGCAAATTGGCAGCTCGTATTCTACCTATATTCTATAGTCAAATTCACTGTACCATATCCTATAATCTAGGTTTACTTACCATTCCTTATATTTCAATTACCTCTTTCCAGTTTAATTGGACAGTGTATTTTGAGGAAATACTTAATGGCACAAAGATATCGATTCCGTCAAACCTAAAATTGATGATACTACTGCCCAATAATATTAAAAAGATTGTTGATTGGATTAAAGCAAAACCAAAGAGGTGAGCAGCAAACCATGCATGTACTGCAAACACCGTTATATGATAAGCCTATAGATATTCACGTTATTTAGGTGTATGATACTAGTATGGCGGTATTGTTTTAAAAACTAACCGGTGTATCAGTGCCCGGCTTTCTTAAGAGATTTCTATTGGGGCTGGAGACAAAGGCAAAAGAAATTCTTTAAAATAGGAAAATGCGGGCCGACAGGTTCACTGATCTCAAAATTATGGCTGTTTGCCAGGAGTGTGATAATCGTTTCATACAATGAGCTTTAAAGCAGTTTTGTTTGCAGAAATGACAATAATTTATTTGGTATGAGAAATCGTGAAATATGTTTAATGTTTATGAATTCTGTTGTTTCAATTTTTTGCCTATAACTTGCATTGCTTTCCTTTTAATGATATATACGCTATGCGCTAATTAATATGGAGAAAAAAAAATTATTTTACCGTGGGTTGAACCTTTGGCAAGTCATATTAGATAATTATTGCAACGATTTCCGTTTTGCTTATTTCTCTGAAGGTTTGGGTTGTTATAAAACTATCGAGGCACCGCAGACTCAGGCAACCTATGCGGCAATTCGTGGAGTGGGTAAAATGTTTCAAACAATTTCGTTTGAATTTTCAAGGAATTGTACCTGTGTAGATCACACATTTGCTAAAAACTGTAACAGTATATGCCGTATTGCGCTATTTACTGCAATATTTTTCGAACATCAGTATATTGAAATTCCAATAGCGCCCAAGTTTATACCTATATAGCCTACAATTATCATTATTATTATTATTATTATTATTATTATTTATTTATTTTTTTATTATATATTATTTATACTGTTTAGCGGGCATCGGAGTTCGTTTTCAGCCACGTCTGCAATTTTTCAACTTTCGGAACTGATAAAAAATTGCATGGCCTCGGCCAAAATCTTAATATATAATCGATGTCGATCTACATGTACAGATATAATGTTTCACTAGTCTAATTTAATTTACTGAATTTACTTTTTGACTATTTTAGGGAAATTTTGGCTACTTGTTAAGTTACCAATCGGAATCGATCAACTGATTTAGTCCTGTAACGCATTTGCATGCAAAAAACCCCGTTGACGCTAGACGGGACCAAATTGAAACAACACGGAAATCGCCGTACTAGCTTTAAGTTTTTAATATTTTAATAAGATCTCAGCATTCTATAAAATCCTTCAGGATCCTTTTTAGGATTTCTGCCAATCTACACTTCTAATCTATATAGGAGTCATTTTGACTCGCAAATATAGATTACAGTGAAGAAAAAAGGTACAGAATGATTTTTTTTAGTTTATTTTACTCTGGTGTTTTAACTCCTTTCTTGGAGTACATTTTAATCCGTTATTGGAGTAAAAACTATTCCTTGGAGAGCAGAAATAACTACTCCTTTGGAGATAAAATACTGGAGTGAAATTCACTCTAAAGAACAAGTCATTCTGTACCTTGCAGTAAAAGTGACTCATGCCCAAAATTAAAGTGCGAATCCCGTGTATTGATTTCGTCTTGTTTATTTTAGTCTATTAGCCAATGAAATAATTTGGAATGTTATTCGTGGCTTGATTAGTAACCTACCAGTGGCATTTAGAGCAGCACAGGATAAATATACACAACGTTATACTCCCAGATGGAGGATATGTAATCTTTTAACAGACAATTATTTTACATTCGCTACAACTCTACTGTATGTGAATAAACATTTGCCAGAAGATGCTAGGAAAACGGTAAGATATGTATGTTGTCCAGTGTATCTAGTATTGCGCAATGACGGCCACATTGCACATGGGAAGAGTTATAATTCTTGTAATTTACGGCTTTTGGTGGGGAAAGAAACATATTGTCTAGTTCGCAACTGGGCATCAATCCATAATGGCTTCCTCTTTTCCTTCTGAATTTGCCTCTGAATAACTAACAAGCTGACCATCTGACCATCCAGCTTCAATATGACCATCTCAACTCTCAAGTCTCGTTAGAACGAACTAATATTTGGGCATCTACATCTTTCACAGTACACAGGAAAATCATTTTGTCAAAAAAAAAATGCACCCCAAAACTTGACCGATTTAAAAACATTTTCTAATTAATATGAATATTCTGCATAGGTTCAAAAATAGCTCATTTAATTTCAACCGAAAGATTTTCTATCCACTATTATACAATATAGTCTATAGATAGTTGCGTGATGATTGGTTTGGAATATCCAGTGCATGGAGACAGTTATTGGTCGAAGCTAAAAGCTTAAGGCTTGATAATTTAGGATATAACACAATCGAATTCGATATTATTTATACACACTGTGTTGTTGTATAAGTTCTAGTTGCATAGTAGCCCAAATACTGTCGTGCGCGAAACATTGACACCATTATAATATTTAGGATAAGCTCAGATTTCGCGTATAATTGCGACTATAATACGTTGAATTGTCTCATTGTACTGATTTAACAATTTTATAGGCGGCAGAGATGTTTACAGAGATAAAAGGTCAGTTCATTGATGGCTTGAAAGAACAAACATGGATGGATCCTGGAACCCGCGCTCAGGCTCGTCTTAAGGTTAGTGGCACGAAGGTTATCAAGTAGTGTTGTTTTTAGTTTAAGTTTCTAGTTTTGACCCCATTGCCTATGTTTTGATTGCCTCATCTTTTGAGAGTCATATTGAGGGTAGGAAATTCCACTGCATTAATCATCGCTTCGACTACAATTCGGAGGGGGTGGTTTATTTAGTTACTTATAAGCAGTGGCGGAAATTAACTTTTTCCGGTGGGGGGCGAAGCCTTCTAAATTTCCGACAAAACTTTCAAATTTCCGACAATCCCCCCCCCATTTTCACTCGAAAGCGCCGTTTTTAGCCCTTTTAAAAGTCAAAATTTCCGAAAATTCGTCATTTTACACGAAGGCGGGGGGGGGGGCGGACGCCCCCCTGCCCCACCTAGATTTCCGCCACTGCTTATAAGGTAAGTGAGATGCAATATTTGGGCTATACTATTACGTAGTTTAGATTGAGATTTAACATTCACAAAAACTCTCTAAATGGATATGTGCGAAGTATACTAAATATTAGTGGTCAGCACTTGTATGAGCATTTTTTTGGGAGGGGCATTCGGGTTTAAGTGACTTTTGGGTTCAAATTATTGATATAGTACTGATGTTATCAACCCTAAGGGAAAGTGAAAGTTATTGGATAGAGAAAGTTAACTGTTATTGTCCATTGCGATTAAAAACATGAGGGAGAAAAGTAATTACCATATAGTTTAATTGATGTAAATTTTGAGCATAAAGGATATAAGACTATAAAAACTGTGGACAAGGCCTTGTAAGGTAATTTGATCGTTTCAGAAGAAGGGGCTTGCCCCGAAACGTTAATAATTTTTTTTTTCTATGTTACTTTGACTGTTTTTTTATGTTATGTTGTGTTATTGTTGACTCCGTAATATGATAAGTAGAAAATGTTCTCGAGTCTGTATTTCATAATTTCCATACCCAGCGCAAGCAGAAAGATATTGATATTATTATTTATTTTATTCTTTTTATTATTTTATTTATTTATTTATTTTTTTTATTTGCCGCGGCAGACAATATCTTTCTGGTTGCTCTGGGTATGGAAATTATGAAATACACACTCGAGAACATTTTCTACTTTAAAACTCAAAGAAAAACATGAAAAGTGGACAATTGAAATATTGAAAACGTTTAGTCGGTACAATTTGTATGGGATATCACACTCATACACTTTTTAGAAAGTAATGAACAAGCTTGTTTGTCACATATGAGTGTTTTCGTTCAATACAGCTGCAGAAAATGACGGATGTGATTGGTTTTCCATCGTTTATTAAGGATCCTGCGACACTGAACGCGGTTTATGGACATGTGAGTTTTGAATCAGAACTAGTTGCATGCATAATATTCTACCGGAAGCTTAATAATTCGTTTTAGCTAGCATACATTAAGCAAAATGCCATCTGGTATGTGGCATAGCAATATGAGTAGTGAAAGACCCCACTATGGGAGCGGAAGTAATTAGTATGCAAACCTGGATGTCGAAAGTAATTAGTATTAAAAACTATGGCGTCACTTTGCTTGGCAGGCCTGGGCCAAATGTGACAGGTAGCGCGACCAATTAACGCGGGCAAGCCTGGGCCAAACACAACAAGGTAACGCAATCAATTAGCATCGCAATACAGTAGCATCACTATAAATACAGCTAGTGTCCTTTCACCTGCATAGTCTGTATTCAACACTCACGATGGAATGTTTTCACGGTAAATCAGCTGCTTGTTCTACAATTGTTCGTGATATGTTTTTTTATGGCGAAACACCGAGCTGCGAGTTCTTTTGCCATGACGAAGACTGTTATCTGCTTACAAGAGCGAGGAAGCCTGTCAAAATAGTGATTCCAATCATCTCATTTGCCCAACACATCAGAAACTAGCCAAATTACGTGTGGTAAAAGATAAAATGAAAGATAATTATGGAAGACACTTCTTCACGTGCTCTGATCGACATGATCCTTGAAACTTTTGGCAATGGGGAGACATTTACGAAAGCCCTGGACCACGTTGCAAGCACGGGATGGTATATGCACCGTACGTAAAGTGAAGAAAGACGGACCCACCCAGAACCGCTTGTTTTACTGTTGCTCTCAGATAGACAGCTGTGGATTTTTCCAATGAAAAGAGATCGAGCCTCGTGTGACCGAGACGAGCTTCGTCCTATTCAGTGATCCGCTACAATATCGATACAAGAATGAAAACACTGGAGTGAAACATTCACTAGTACTAACATTAATGCTAAGGAAGCGTATGAAGAATTTCTTAAGAAATATGAATAACTGTAATAAAACGAAATAAATTGTTTTTATCATCATGAATGTGTTCTCTTTATTCCTGTGATAAATCACTTACATTTCCCATTTGGGTTTTAACCTTTATGGTGAGAGGTTCTCTGATGAGATGAATAATATAAATATATTTTTTGACGAGTTGAGACAAAATGAAATCGATATCGATAAGCAGACTTTATCGTTTCATATAAATGCAATTCTTGATCACCATCTAGATCTATATCGTGAAATGAGTGCTCATAGACTAAACCTTGACCAAGTCTACAGAGAAATAAATATGACAAACTTTGGTCGCATTTTTGCCTATTTAGCTTTAGTTTGTATGCAAAATGACAGTGAGGAAAGCGTTCGAGAACATGTCCGAAAAACTATCGAGGCCTTTCCAACTTTTCATATCCCAAAGGCGAAAAGGAATAATAAACCACCAATTTTAATAACGCTCTCACTTACACTAATAGCTTGATATGTTAGTCTATGATTGCTGCATGGTTCATTTCGTTCTAACCTCTGAGGTGAAAGGATGCCCTGTTGTGGTAAAAGTCTTCCAGATCAGAAATTTCCCTCCGAGATATCTTTCGGAAAGTGCGTTGTATTTCCGCGTGCTGTGGAGGGACAATTGTAATTCAAGCTTCACACATTGATGGCAGAAAAGTACCTGAGCCAAATCTATTACAATGCAGAAAGTCCCGCAAGTTTTGGTGGCGTAGATTCAATTTACTGTGCCGTAAAAGACGAAGGCAAACATCAGATATCGCGGAATAAAATACGGCTATGGCTACAAAAGCAAGACAAGTATACTTTACATAAACCTGTAAGATATCGTTTCAAACGGAACCGTGTCATTGTAGGCGCAATTGACGAGCAATGGGAGTCGGATCTTGTGATTATGGACTCGATAAGCAAATACACTAATGGCTTTAAGTACATTTTAACTGCAATTGATGTACTTAGCAAATATGCGTGGGCTAAACCGATAGAAACAAAGACTGTAGAAAATCTTGTTAAAGCCTTTGAGAAAATACTTAAAAAGGGTCGAAAGCCTAAAACTTTTCACACCGACAGAGGGACAGAGTTTATGAATCGAAAGTTCCAAACGTTTTTGAAGAAACATAACATCGAGTTTTTCACGACGCAAAACGAGACCAAGGCATCGATTGTCGAAAGGTTTAATCGTACGCTCAAGACGAGAATGTGGAAATATATTTTACAGCGAAGAACATGCTCAAGTACGTGGACATTCTTCAGAAACTGGTAAAATCGTATAGTCATTCGAGACATCGTAGTATTGGTATGAGGCCCGTTGATGTAAATGAAGACAACGAGAGCATTGTGTGGCAAAATCTTTATGGAGCAGAGTCCGACAAACCCGTTCAGTTTAAGTATAGTATTGGCGACCAAGTACGAATCAGCAAAGCAAGGAGCACATTTAAGAAAGATACTTGCCCAATTGGACCGAAGAAGTGTTTACGAAAACTAAACGTGTTCTTCGACGACCACCCGTGTACAAGATCGCAGATTTTAATGACGAAGAATTGGAAGGAACACTTTACGAACAAGAGGTTCAAAGAGTGAATAAAGCAGACAGCGATTTTTATAGAGTCGAAGAAATACTTAGATCACGCATGCGTAATAAACGTAAAGAATATTTTGTAAAATGGCTGGGCTACCCCGATAAATTTAATTCTTGGGTACCAGCAGAGAGTGTAAAAGATATTAAATAAATGTATTTGAAACTTATCAGTTGTGTTCATTTGTGTGTTGGTCTTCAATATGGCAACACAGTTTTATCAGCTCACGCTACCGCGTAATAGTTCATTAGCTTATTTTCCAAATAGTAGGGTAGCGAATTTTAGAGTAAAAGTGGCCGAAACCATTGTATTTCCAGGACAATGGGAAGTCGCATTGACGGAAATGCATTACCCACATACGTGGAGCACGTTAAAACGAGGAGTGCAACAAACGTTTTTGTATAAAATTGGCAATAGCCCTTATCAAACTGTTGTGTTTAAAGAAACACAATATTCTTCTATCGACCAACTAACAAAAGCACTCAATGCCGGGATGTCAAAAGAAACACAAACGAAAGTGAAGTTTAATTATAATCACAGTTCTCGCAAAGTTTTGGTCATGTAAAACACGGCACAACTGTGTGGTTTACCGGAGAATTAGCAACGGTCTTGGGATTTGACCAGGACACTCTTGTTGAAAAGAAAACTTTGAGCCCTTATGCTGCAGATATCAATGGTGGATTTTCTTCCATGTATGTCTACACTGATATCGTTGATGCACAGTTTGTGGGCGATGTGAAAGTTCCTTTACTACGAATCGTTAATATCGAAGGGGAATATGGAAACACCGTACACGCCAGTTTTCGTAATTTGCAATACGTGCCGGTCAAAGTATATTCTTTTGAGACCATTCAAGTCAATATAAAGAATGACCAAAACGAAAACGTTTCATTTGAGTTCGGGAAGTCAATCGCAACACTTCACTTTAGACAGAAGAGATCTCAGTACATTATCTAAAAACTGCGCAGAAGACCAGTTGTAGACGAAAAACTATTGAAAGATCATTTCTTGAGACAGCAGCGTGGTGGGAATGTCGCTGGGTTTCATGGTGCACGTATGCAAAGGGGATATGGGATCCGAAGTATTTTCAAGAGCCTTGCGAGATATTCTATCCATCTATTCAAACAAGGAGCTAAAGTTGTTGGCAAAAAAGCATTACAAGCAGCCACAGAAGTTGGTCAAAATGTACTCCAAGGAAAAAATGTAAAAGAATCTTTTAAATCACGAGGAAAACAAGCAGCATCTGATGTTGCAAAAAATGCTGCCAAGAAAGTAATGACCGGAAAGGGTCGCAAAAAGGGTATAAAAAGAGCTGCGTCAGCTAAAACTCCCATTCACGGTCCAACCAAGGAGCAGAAAACACTTCGCGATAGCTATAATCCAAAGTGGCATGGCTCAAGTCGCTGAAACAATGCATAAAGACTCCTGTATGTGCTGAAAATCTAAAATTGATTTATTTTTGTTCCACCGACTCAAGTGGTAATGGAAAAAAGATTTTGGGATGATATTGATCCGATTACAAGTATATCTTCTTCAGATACGATAGAATTTTTATGTGCTGCAAATTCTGGAGTTTATACTGACTTAGCAAGCAGTTACCTATACGTTAAAGCAAAGATCACTACCGCAGCCGGAGGTAATGTGGGTGCAGACATTGAAGTTGGACCTTCAAACCTTTGGAAGCATGCTTTGTTCTCACAAGTTGAAGTATTTCTGAATAACAAACTGGTCACCGCATCAAGCACAGCCTACCCTTACCGAGCGTATATCGAAACGATCCTGAACTTTAGTAAAGACGCCAAAGACTCACATTTGACCTCGGCACTATTCTATAAAGATAAAGCTGGAAAGATGGATGTAGTAAACCCTCTCGCACAAGATGCCAACGTCAACACGGGGTTAAAACAACGCCATGCATATACATGTGAAAGTAAATCTGTCGCCATGGTAGGAAGAATTCATTCTGATCTATTCGCGCAAGACCATTACATTCTTGGTGCTGTTCCAATCAAGATCAAGCTGGTGAGATCTAAAAATCCGTTTTGTCTGGTATCATCCGCAGAAAATCTAATTTCAAAGTAGTCATCGAAGAATGCTTGTTTCGTGTACGACGAGTTAACGTAGCCCCTAGTATTATACTGACTCATTCCCAGCTCCTTCAACAAACCACTGGCAAATACCCAATCAACAGGATCGACTGTAAGGTCGTCTCCGTACCTCGGGGGAACATGTCTGGAAATCAACCTTATATATTTCACGATGCTTTATCAAATCGTATTGTGATTGGAATGGTCGACGCAGATGGCCTTAACGGTACATATACGAAGAATCCGTTCAATTTCAAAAATTACGATATTACAACCATGGGTCTCACTATCAACGGAGAGAACTTACCTGGAAAACCACTACAGTTGAAATTTGGAGCAGAAAGTTACTACATTTCTGCTTTTCAAACCCTGTACGCGGGTACAGACAAGATTTTTGAAAATCCGGGCAATGGTATAACTCGTGAAGAATATGCAAACGGTTATACGCTGTTTGTGTTTGACCTCACGCCAGACCTATGCATTGGTGATCATGTACAAGACGGAGTCATACAAAATAAATTGATCATTGGACTGCACGACACGTTCAACAGCAGCCAGGAAACGTTCTGAGGTTCGCGTTGTAGGAAAAGCAAGGAAATAGTTTTGTCCAGCTGATTCGAGTTGAGGATCAAGCGAACTTGATCGTGAGATGCCATGTCACTCGTGAGTCGGTCAAATAAGTGTTCAAATGCGCGGTTTAACGTCGACATGACGTTTGACACCCCGTGCACGACCAACGGATTGAATTGAACAGTATAATCTGCACTGACCTAAAAAACCGTAATACACTATTGTACTAACCACGTAATAGCAATCAAAAAGACTCAAAATTTCATGAAAATGTCCTCTAATAGCTATCACTAATTGAACATACAGCAACAACACTTGAGAACCAGAGAACACTTGCCAAAATGCAACAGTGAGAAATGAAATGTGTGTTCGAAACACGATATCTATAATCTCTGATAACTATGTTTGCGATGTTACTCTGAGTGCATATCCACACCGGGCGAGCTTGAAAAATATGCCCGGCCACGGTGGGATATTTTTCAAGGCATATTTTTCAAGCTCGTCCAGTGTGGATATGCACTCAGAGTAACATCGCAAACATATTATTCACCTGAGTACACAACACCAACACAGAAAAAAACTCTGATAACTAATTTGTTTTTGGTCGCGTTACTGTGTTGTGCCGCTAATTGATTGCGTTACTGTATTGTTATGCTAATTGATCGCGTTGCCTGTCACATTAGGCCCAGGCTTGCCCGCGTTAACTGTCACATTTGGTCCAGGCTTGCCCGAGTGACGTCATATATTTTGCAAGCTCCTTCCTTCACTACTAATATGCTATATGTTTCCTTAATTTAACAATTATATGTTTGATGTTTCATTACCATAAGTTTATCCATTTTTCATGTATCTGAAAGAATTAAATTCGACGAAGGTCGAACGTAATATTTAATTCGACTGGGTTGGTCGCATAAATCCCCGTGCAGACGAGCAAATTTTTCTTGACAAGTTTACTTTATCGCGTGAACGCTCAACAAGTTTTTCTTGACAAATTTTGTTGGTCGTGTGCATAGAATACCTTTATCTCACCTCAAAGTCGCCTTTTGTTTGCCAAAACCATAGCATTATTTTTGTAAACTTGTTAAGCTTTTCTTTGTTATGGCCGTACACACGCGCCATCACATTTTACTTCACCAAGGAAACAACACCGTGGAATTGGAAACTGTAGACGGTCCGTAGATGCCAGCTCATGTTTTGGCCGAGGTGGATATCAGGGGCAGTTGGACGAAGGTCGGACAGCGCAATCCAATAGATAGTGATTTTTGAAACTTTTAAAAAAATCCTGGAAAGCTGTAACACTAGAAAGTACGAATCTGTATTGCAACATAATTCTAAAACAGTATAATTTCTAAAATTTTGACTTCAATCAGCAGCATTATACCGTGTATGCATGGATCATAAAAAACACAGGATAGGAAACTCATGATCACGCATGATGTTTTCAGATTGCTGTTTGCGTCTCGGCCTTTTTGAAGATTATGACATCACTAAATTCAAAATAATTCTACGTTTAGCAATAATACAATTGAGAATTTTGTCAAAAAAACGTACGAATATACAACCATGCCACTCTACGATAGAATATCTAAAATGTTATTGGTCATTTTCAGGGAACATATTATATCTTTTGCATTCTAATGAGCCCAATTTGGCAAAATATTAAGTCGAGACTTCAATATTGGGCGAAAGCGAAGGTCGAGCCTAATATTGAAGTCGAGACTTTGCCATATTGGGCGAAGATGAATCCGATAAGAGTTTTATTATATCGACTAAAACAATTCTATAACAAAAAATTGTCAATAAGTAAGGCCCGTTTCATACGTCGTACTTCACATGTGCCGAATACATTAAAGACAATAGATAATGAGCTGAAATGCCTCATTATCTATTGTTTGTAATGTATTCGGCACATGTGAAGTACGGCGTATGAAACGGGCCTAATACAGCGAGAATACAGCGACAACATTAGCCTACAACTACATATATCGGCGGCGAATTTGCTTAAATAACTAAACATAAAGTTAATAAACTCGTTTTTACAAATATGTGTGCATAAATAAACTCAATTCCATGTATGTTTAATGGAATTTGATTTAATTTTGACAAAAAAAATAATATTACTAACCTCGAGGCTGTTGCAAACAAATGAATTTCGCGACGAGTTTTTCCGCGCTTTTATAATTTTGAACAAAACTGGTAGAAAAAACTATATTAATTAATGTCCCAAATTCTTTTCATTAGTCTGCCCTATCTCTTGTCGTATGTTTGAAATTGACAAAACTTCTGAAAATGGTTGAAAACCATGCAAATAGCGACGATTCGTAACTGTCTAATAGGTTCCTGTCCAATGTCGTAAAATATTGGATCGGCAGGTGACCTTCTCAACGATTACTGATTGGTTTAGTGCGCGTGAGTGTATAATAACAAGCATTAGATGGTAAAATACTCGTCAGAAATTCCACTAATCCATTATATCCACAGTATTTTTTGCGACGCCAATTTCTTAATTAATTACGAAAGTAAGAAACTGAAACAAAGACGAACAGTCTACCTCGAATACTTTATCGTGGCACGTACAGGCAGGTTTAATATTTTAAAAGACAATGAAACCACTTCGAATCTCAATATACATGTTTGAATGCGAAAAATATAGCAAAATCGAAGAAAAACGCGGTAAATTTTACTATATTCGTCCTACTCGTGATATAGCAAATTTAAAATAGCAATTAGGCTGCGTGTACGTTCTTTTCTAACTATTTATAGTTATACTGATCAACAGCAAATTTTTGAAAATTTGAAAAAAATATTTTACGGCCTACGCCCAACCGTCCCTGATTAGTATATTACTTAATCTGTGACAGAGTCAAATGGTGTCTATTATGTTTCAGGTTCAAGTCGATCAATATCATCTTTTCCAGAATACTTTGAATATTTTCAGAGAGATATTTTGGAAGAAATTAACTCGATTGGGAAGACGTGCTACAGACAGTACCAGGTAGTTCCACTTTACAGATAGAATATTTATTTGCAGGGCATGCAGTGGTCCCGGTGACTATAAAATTTATCTCACACATGCATGCAGATGTTTTCACCGATCATGGATATTTTAAGTCAGCCACAAAACACTTAGCCTGTGTTACAGATATAGAAATTATATATATATATATATATATATATATATATATATATATATATATATATATATATATATATATATATATATATATATATATACTTGAAACTGTATGACGCTTTTACTACATTCATAGTAAAAGCGTCATACAGTTTCAAGTTTTGTTATTATTTTGGCGCAGTTTTTAAAATGTTTAATTTCAACTGTAAATAACTACTATGCAGTGATTGTGAACTGTCAGAATTGCATTGTTGTTTAGACATTTATTACATTTTTGTCATATTAATTTGACAAGACAGGCGCAGTTTTATTAAAAATTTGAATATTTTATTGATTCGCATAACTGGAGAATGATTTAATTTTTGATGAAACAAGCAATCGCGCCAATTTGAAAGTTTAGCCAATTTGAGATATAGGAAGGTTTGTGACACATGTACAATACGCTCATACCTCGCGACTTCCACAGCAGCACCTGCAGCCAAATTAGCAGCTCTAGCCAAATTCAAGATGGCTGCTGCAAGTGGTTAAACAAAATTTCGTTTACTTGGTCATTTGCTTCCTTGGGGGAGGGGGTTATAACTCCAAATTTTCGTTCTTTTCTTGCTCAGTGAACTTCCAATATACCCAATTTTTTTTATCAATTGTGCATTTTCAGGTAAATCGTTTTTAATAATAGTTGTTATTAAAAATGGTTTAATTAATTAAGCAATATTAACAATTTACACGAACAATATCTTTCTTAAAAATTACGCATACACAACGGTGTTGTAGTGCACTGGAACACTGGCTTTAACACTGAGAATTTTGTTTAAGATTGCACAGTTACTTAACCGAGTTTCCAAAGAACTTTTTTTCTTGTCGTAACTCCAGCAATGTAACCCTCAATGGAGCATCTTGTTGTTACATATGTCGGGAGGGCTTTCCATTCTTGTATCCCAAAATGACCTTACAAGGGTAAGGGTTAGAAATAGGGTAAATATTAATATCACGATCATATTTAAAATGGAAGATTCCATTTGTCAGAAATTTCATCTTTTATGTAATGTTTATTTTTCTGCAGGTCGTCATTTTCGTATCTCCAAATCAATGCATTTTATAACCCTCAATCAAACGGAATGAGTAAGCCAAACTTTCAAATCCTGTTAATACTTTTATTTTCTTCCCATCCTTCCTTCTTTTCTTCACCATTTTTTTCCTTGCGCCTTTCTTTCTTTTATCTTTTTTATCTTTTTATTTCTTTTATCTTTTTTTTTCTTTTATCTTTTTTTATCTTTTAAATTTTTTTTTTCTTTTATTTATTTATTTATTTATTTATTTATTTATTTAATGAATTTATTTAGCAATCTACATACATACTATATATCAGGTACAAAGATAAATACTTGACAAACGAAAGACCAAACACACGTCACAGATCACAAATGAGTAGATACACTCAAACGGAAAGCACAAACGGGACACTAAAAGTCCCATGCGAGGTGCTCCGCGTAATTAGTTTAGATATACTTAACTGAAAAAAACACACATATATATTACGTACTGTTTAAATTAATAAACGATCAGGAGTGTTTTATTAAGTTTAAAGCCACGAGCGCGCAGTGCGAGTGGCTTTAAACTTAATAAAACACGACTTGCGAGTTTATTAAACGGCTTCAAACACGACTACAAATTCAGTAGTGCCTTATTATAATTCTTTATATAAAAGATACTAATGAAGACACAACTGCAATGGATACTGCCTTATTAGTATTCTGTATATAATGAATACTAATTAGGAGTGTTTTATCAGGTTTAAAGCCACTGCACGTGACATATTATGGTTGACATGATTTGCCAATAAGTTTATGAATTATTAATGAGTTTTTGAATTGTCGTATTAAGTCCTATGGCAAGGACAGTCACGAGTTAATGACCTGCACGTACAAGCCATGTCTACGTCATAAACATTACTAATTAATGTATAGTATCTATACGTTTAAGATAGTGTTTAAACGAGTTTGGTTACAGAAAATGTCAGGTGAGACTTCTTGGCACACTGTGTTCCAAATATTTACAACACGATTGTAGTATGAAGACTGAAAAGTGTTAGTTTTACAGAGTTTACTTTGAAGGATATATCCTGACGTATGGCTCAGTCTAGTACGACCATGACTCACAAACGACCCATAGTTATCGATATTGACGTCAATGTAACTAAATAATGATTCGAAGAAATACACCAAGTCTCTGACTTTTCGATCATAGGTCTTTCCCTCACGCCTTAGAGTAGTTTCCCTGTCCTTTATACTTACTGTACATGTTGCCATCTACTAACCACTTGTATGAGTTGTATCCACCTACCGATACCTACCTACCTACCTACCTTATACCTTCTTTGAAAGGTGACTCCATACCTACCCACCTTTACTTCCTAACCTTTCTTCTTTTGTTTATTTTCTTCTATTTCCAGTAGTTTTCATGAGTATGAATTGATTCACCTTTTTGCTTATTTTGCAGCCATCTTAGCAGGAATACTACAACCACCTTTCTACAAAGGCGACAGACTTAAGTAATAATTTTTTGTGTATTTTCCTTTCTTTATTGTACCTTTTCGGCTTTTAAATCGGACTGCTGTTACAGCTACTCATTTTGTTCATTTCAGAGCGTTGAATTATGGTTCCCTTGGTATGGTCGTGGGCCATGAAATCACGCATGGCTTTGACAAGCTAGGTAAATACATTGGGTGGATAGGGAAATACCAAATATGATGCAGTTTTCTTATAATTTATCAACTTATAGGCATACTTTCTGGATGCAGATGGATTCGTATTCTTGAGATTGATAAAACTAGCAATCTTTACCAAATGATCTTGTCAGTAATAGTATAGTAACAATTTTCTGTAGATGTCTGAAGATGATAAATAAAAAAGTAGTGGTTTAATTAACATGTATTTTTATTGACCAAAATTAAAGGGCTAGCCGCCTTTAAGAGAACGTCCGCACCATCCAAACATTCGTTAAGATTTAAAATTTATTAAAATTTTCACGATTTATTGTATTTTGGACATAATCTATTTTATTGGTAGTTCACCTCCCTAAAAAATCTGCTTTCCAAATTGGAGGTCAAAAAGTAAATGCTAAATATTATTTATTCCTGATGAATATTTATATTCTCTATGCCAAATATAGCCTCCTCCGCAGGCATCTCACCCGACGAATCGGGTGGTGGGAAAAAGTTTGGTGAGATGCCTGCCATAAATCGACACAAAAATTTGCACTGCGCATACTGGCTCGCGCATGCAAATTTCGACAAACTCAAACTTAGGGGGAGTAGGAAGGGCTTACGGCAAGGAGTGAAGAAAATTTTGTTTTCAACACGATGGCTTACAAGACGAGTAAAACTGTAAAATTAACGAATAATCCTGCTCTTCAACATTGCAAATACAAAGGGAACTTTGACTAAGGAGCGGAGAACGTTATCGAAAGCCGACGCAGCGATTTACTGGGATTGTTTAGAGACGAGTGACTGCAGAGCAATGAATTCATGTTGTCGTCGATTCATGTCAAGACATTTGTCAAGACAAGGTTTCAATTGAAAGTTTATCGTCAATATATACAAATTTCTATTCAAATTGTTGACGACATTTTATATCATAATAAGCTGAAAGTGCAGTGATTTAGTCGAAATTGTAACATGAAAAGGAACGATCGAAAATTGTCAATATACAGTATAAATGTAAATTCAACTGTTGACATCTGTGACTGCGTATTAAATATATAAACACCTCTTGCCTTGTTTTAATACGCTTGTATGGAAGGAAATCATTAATAAAAGCCTTAAACAAATAGCTTTCTTATTGTGGAATACACTGTGCAATTTATCCCTTGGACAAAGACAAAGTTTTCAAACTTGAGTGTCTCAGATGTGGCGAAAATAGCAAAAGCTTTCTTAAATCAGTGGCCCTGTTTTATATATGGGTGTGAGTAATGTAGACATAAGGGAAAGGACAACTGGAATTTAATAAGAATCTAATAGTTTTCCATGTGGTGCAACATGTATGAAGACCTGTCTTAATAACATTTGCCTTGGATTTGTTAATTAACCAATGGAGGCATTACATACATTCCATTTTGCTTGCCAAAGTTCACAGACAAAATATTTACATGGGTAAAATCCATTTTGCAAGGCAAATTTCCCTATAACCATACAAACAGTCACTGACAAAACTTCCCGGTGATAGACATGTTTTCAGGGATGGATCCAGCATGATCTGGTAAGGGGGTGCTCTGCCAGCTCTGGTGTCGAGTGACTCGAGTTGTGTCGTCATGTGTGCAGCCCGCCATTAATATACAGCAACAGCAGTATTTTGACAATTTGGCAAAACACCTCCACGTGGTACAAGTGTACTGTGTACAATATCTCATTTTGTGTCTAATATTTTTTGCTTTATCATGAAAAATAGCACACACATACCCCCTGGCCAGGGCTAGGGAGGGGGGTGTGCACCCTCCCACCCAGTAAATCCATCCCTGCATGTTTTGCTATTAATTGTTACATTAACCACCCAAAAGTCTTTCAATGGTGGGTACATATTAATTGTAAGCTGTGAAGCTTTAGATTAGCCCATTGTTTGTACTCTCCCCTGGAATAGTAAAATTGTCTGATGTTAGACAGAGTAAAAGCAGGGGCGTGCCGGCAAGCAATGAGACAACAAGAACTTGTTGTGGGCCCCTGGCATTGTAGGCTCTTACATGATACATGCCAATCTAGATTTATTATATTTAAAACAAATATATGTCAAGAGCAATTTTATTTAAACATGAACAAGGGAGATACATATAATTAGAGAATATGCAGATACATCATAAATTTATTTACTTATCAAATCATGGATGTCATGTGGCCAGTACGTGTAACACAACTAGGCATATACTATATTAGAAAGAGGTTGTTACATGCATCACAATGCAACTTATTAATGGGTTTAGCATATTCACATGATATTAATTAAGGGGGTGAGTTCCAATTAACTATTTAACCAAGTGAAGCCTGGTTCACATATACCTGCTGTTTGTTGATGGGCTATTGTTGTTAAAAGTTCAACTAAATAATTCACAAAAGAATGTATGCATCAACAGCTGTAAACAATGATAATGCAGGCATATGTAAACCACGCTTAAGATGCCAACAAAATCTTGATTTTTGTAGGCTTTTGTTGTAATCAAATTTCTGTAGTTGATATTTCCAAGTTGTTATCTCTCCTCACTTATTGAAATGGTTGCCTCAACAGAAAGATCTTTTCCTTTTATATATCAATTCACTTAACATGTTGCCAAATGTCTGATGATTTGACTAAAATTAGTAAAATATAATCAAAATGTCAACCCCTTCATATAAATAAACATGGCAAAATAATATTCCAGAAAACAATACAATTTAATATAATTCCTTTATTAAAGGTAGGTTACAGTCGCATCTGCGCATGTGCTGGACATTTGTTTATGTGGGGACACACAGGAAGTTGTCATCCTCTGTTTGTGCTCGGTCCAGTCTCATTTCTGGCAATAACACGCGCGTTGTTTTTATCGCAATTGAATTTAATGCCCAAGGAGCGAAGAAGTTTCCAAAATATTTTGAGCTTTTTTGAGCGACAGTCCGTCAAATAACGAGTTATTGAGGCAACATGAAGAGTAGGAAAGGATACTACGCTAACAGGGATGCTTCGAAAGTGTATCAAAGTGTATCTATTTTATTGTTTTCCTCGATGGAGAGCGCATTCCATTTCTGCGTCTGCCCATGAATGGCCATGATATACCTGCATCCTCGGGCTTCTACCAAAGGTTGTCAAGAAAAGAATCCTAGAAGGATTGGAGATTGCTCCAAACATAGCTGCAATGTTGATCCTTCAGAGAAATCGCTTGTTGAAGCCCATCAATCGAGGTTTTAATGACTATAAAATTTTCTTTATTACACTAGCTATTTCACTATCGTTAATATATACGAACTGTTTATCTATTCTGTTTACAAACTGAAACCCATAATATAATTATAAAGGCCTAAAGATATGATACTCGAGACTAGTGAGTTGTCGATGAAAAAATAATGAACAATTTGGAGTGAACATGTTTGGGACTTTTGAATGGCTGTTTATATAGACGTGTTATTGTCAATTGTCAGAGTGATAATCTACTTGGCTGTGGCAGTGCTTTACTGTCTTTGACTGTCTGCTCATGGACAACTTGTGCTCACTTAAAACTTAATAGAAACACATCAAAAAGTTTCTCTGATCAAAGTTAAAGTAGATTTTAATTTGATCAAAACACATAACAGTTTAAATGCCTTTTATATGGAGGCAAGCCAGCTCGGGTGCCTGAGGTAGCTTGCTTGGCCGAGATCTAATGTTGCTAGATAATTTATACTAATATTCGTATTGTGTGTATATGAGAACCAGGCTTGCTTGCCTAAGCAAGATCTTGTTTAATTTGTGAAGCCCGACAGAG